AGGAGGGAGAAGGGACGGGCGCGGAGGGAGGGGAGGAGGGGGAGGAGGACGAACAGAGGGAGGAGGGGGGAAGGAGGAGGGCGTGGGAGGGAGGAGCGATGCGGAATGACAGCGACGGAAACGACGAGGGGGGGACAGCAAGGTGAGGAAGGACGAGCAGAGGGAGGTGGGGGGAAGGAGGAGGGCGGAGGGGGAGGAGCGATGCCGGAAAGACGGCGGCGACGGGACGACGAGGGGGTGACGACGAGGACGGTCACGAAAGCGACGGCGACGAGCCCAAGAGCCATTGTCCACTGGCGTTTTGCGAGGCGATACAGAACACGCTCGCTGGCGATATTCCTCTCTCCCTCCCTCATTGCTCTCCTCATCCTCCTCCGGTCGCCCCCTCCTCATTCCTCTTCCTCCTTAGCCTCTCCTCCTCCTCTCCTCCTCTCCTCCTCTCCTCCTCATCCTCTCCTACCCCTCCTCCTCCTCCTGCTCCTGCTCCTCGCCTTCTCTCCTCATCTCCTCCTCCCTCCTCTCTCCGCTACTCCTCGGTCTTTCCTCCTAACCTCCTCCTCCCCCTCTCTCCTCTCCTCCTCGTCCCTCCTCCTCCTCTCCCTTCCTCTCCTCCTTCCTCCGCCTCTCCTCCCTCACTCTCCTCTACTCTCCTCCTCCCCTCCCTCCTCATTCCTCATCCTCCTCATCTCCTCCTTCCCCTCCTCCTCCTCCTCCTCCACCACCTCCTCTCCCCTTTCTCTCCTCTCCTCCTCCTCACTCTCCTCTCTCCTCCTCCTCCTCCTCTTCTTCCTCCTCTCTCCTCCGCCACCTCTCCTCCCCTTCTCCTTCACCTCCTCTCCTCCTCCTCCTATCACCTCTCTCCCCAATCTCTCCTCCTCTCTTCCTCCTTCCTCCTCTCCCTCCCCTCCCCCCTCCTCCTCCTCATCCTCCTCCTCCTCTCCTCCTTCCTCCTCCCCCTCCTCCTCCTCCTCCTCCTCCTCCTCCTCCTCCTCCGCCTCATCCCTCCTCCATCCATCCCCCCTCCTGCACCTTCAGGTGAAGAGGGGAAATGGCAGGGACGGCCCTGAGGATGTGCCGTTCCTTTCAATTCCTTCCCCCGCGCCCTACGTTTGGCCTGTTTCCGCTTCCCTGCCCCTCCCCCTCCCCATTCCCCCAGAAGCCAACCCAGCATGGGCCAACGGCGATGCTCACCACGATCCACAAGTGGAGGCGACCTGAGCGAATTCCCCTTCCCATCATTTTACAAGGCCCACAGGTACCATCAGGCCGTTGTGTGGGAGTGTTGTTGTCTTCATGCATTGATCCTTATGAACATGTATCCCACCAATGTATTGTACGGCAGCTGGGCTTGCTCAACGGAATGATCACACTCACTTAGTCTTGTAAGTCTCGGAACGCAGGAGGAAACAGGGAGGACGGGAGGAAGGATCACGAAAGGAGGAGGGAGAAGAAGGAGCAAGGAGGGAGGTGGGACGAGGGAGGGAGAAGGGGGGAGGAAAGGGAGGGGAAGGAGAGAGGAGAGGAGGAGAGGAGGAGAGGAGAAGGATCCCTCGTAACTGCAGGGGGAGGAGAGGAGAAGGAAGAGTAGGTGGACGAGGAGGAGAGATGAGGAGGATAAGAAAAACACTAACAATAACAATGATAATAATGATACTGATGCGAATGATGATGTTCTTATTAACCAGGGGATGAGTAAAGATAGGGGAGCAAGATGGGCAGGGAGAAAGGAGGAGCACGGAGGGAGCACGGAGAAGCAAGCGGGGAGGAAGGTGGATGAGCGAGGTAGGATGGCGGCGGGAAGGAGGAGGGGTGGCAGGGGCAAGAGGCAGGAGGGAGGAGAGAGGAGGAGGGGTGAGAGGAAGGACTAGGGCGTGAAGCGGTGGGAGCCAATGTCGATGCATCGTCCGCACTCCTCGAACTTCAGGCCGAGAAGCAACCTCCGTGATTCATCCGCCGAACACACGTGAGGAGCTGAGGCCTAGCCCTCTGGCCGACCCCGCTTCGGAGCCCCTGAGTCCAAATGTGCTGACGTCTCTAGAAGAAGAAAAAAGCATAAACTTGTGGCGCTCCGCGCGGATTTCTTGGGTCTGCGCTGGACCCCCCCTCTCTGGTGCGCGGAGCGTGCCAGGGGCGGCGACAGATGCGCCCCCAGGGGGGGGGAGGCTCAGCGCGGATCCAAGATCCCCGCGGAGCGCCCAGAGCTTCTGTTTCTGGCGCTTGTTCTCTCCCTCGAGCCTCGCTTCTGCCTCCGCCGGCCCTCCGCCCGAGTCTTTCTGCCAGGTCTCCCCCCCGCCGTTCCCAGGTTTGGACGCCCGAGATGGGTATGGGAAGAATGGGTACAATGCCTAACAACAAATGTTGTCCCAAACCAACAGCGGCCGCTGTTGGGCGGGCGGCCTTCTGTCTCGAATGGACACAGGCCGCGGCGGGCGGCGGCGCGGACAGCGAGCCCTGTTCAAAATGAACAGGAACTGCTGCTGGGCATTGTACCCATTCTTTCAGTACGGCAGGTTCGTGTCGTGCCGACCCCAGCGTTGGGTTTTGACACCGCAGGGATCGTTCAACCTTGAACGATCGGCCGCTGCCGCAACGTCCGATCGTTCAACATCGATCGATTCTGGGTCGCCGGCGGCGTTCAACCTTGAACGCCCGCGCTGGGGTCGCCGCTGGTCGGCACGACGCAAACCTACCGTACCCATTTCGGGGCGTCCAGACCAGGGAAAGCGAGAGGCGCGCGCGGCCGCGCGCCGGCGGGCCCCCAGACGCTGCCGCGGGCCGGTCGGCGGCCAAAGTGCGACGGCGGGCGGCAGCAGCATGCCACAGCTGCGACGGTAGGGTCAAGTCGCAGACGTCGGCGGCACGCGGCAGGGGGGTGAAGGGGGAGGGGGGGAGAAGGCTTCTTTGAAGCAGGGGCGCTTCTGAGGAGCCCTTCCCCCTCCCCCTTTGGCCCCCTCTGCGCGCGGCAGCATCAGAGAGTTGCGACAGCAGGGTCCGCAACAGACAGTTGCCCGCATCCGCCGCGTTTTGCTTCCGCCGGCCTTGCGCGAGCCGAGGCGCGCCTTCCCGACAACGGCCTCTGCAGCAGGGCAGCGGGCCCACGGCTCCACACCGCCAGCCGGGGGAGCCGCATGCTGCACACGTTCGGTGCATCCTCTCGCGGCGGCCATCTGTAGATTGGCGGGGAAGACCACGAGCCCCGACAGCACACTGGCACGCTCACCTCATGTCATCCTCCTCCGCCTCCTCCCCCCTCCTCCTCGTCCTCGTCCTCCTCCTCCTCCTCCTCTCCTCCTCCTCTCCTCCCCTCCTCCTTCTCCTCCTCCTCCTGCTCCTCAATCTCCTCCTCCTCCTCCTCATCATCATCCACCACCACCACCAGCATCCTCCTCCTCCTCCTCCTCCTCCTCCTCATCATCATCATCATCATCATCATCATCATCATCATCATCATAATCATCATCATCATCATGATCAGCAGCAGCATCATCATCTTCAGCATCATCATCACCATCATCATCATGATGCGCATTACGACCATCATCAGATGATCGTCATCAGCATCAGCAGCACCATCATCGCCATCATCATACTCATCATCAGCAGCATCATCATCATCATCGTCACTATCACCACCATCACCACCACAATCATCATCATCATCATCATAATGTTCATCGTCATCCTCAGCAGCATCATCAGCAGCATCATCAGCATCATCAGCATCATCCTCATCACCACCATAATAATCATAGTCATCTTCATCGCCATCACCATCACCATCACCATCATGATCATCATCATCACCATCATCATCGTCATCCGCATCATCATCATCGTCATCATCATCACAATCATCCTCATGATCATCATCATCATCATCATCATCATGATCGTTTCCATCATCATCGCCACCACCACCACCATCATCATCAGCAGTATGATCACCATCATCATCATTATTATTATCATCATTATCATCATCATCATCATCATTATCATCATCATCAGCAACATCATCGTCGTCATCATGATCCGCCCCCTCCTCCTCTGTCCCCTCCTCATCCGTCAACTCCCCCTCCTCCTCGTCCTACCCCTCCACACATCATCATCATCATCATCATCATCATCATCATCATCATCATCATCATCATCATCATCATCATCATCATCATCATCATCAGCATCATCATCAGCAGCATCGCCGTCATAACCGTCGTCGTCGCCGCCGCCGTCGTCTTCGTCGTAATCAACATCATCATCAACACAACCACCAGCGCCACTACGATCCTGATCATCATCATCATCATCATCATCATCATCATCATCATCATCATCATCATCATCGTCGTCATCATCACCATCATAATCGTCATCATCAGCATAGTCATCAGCATCGTCAGCATCATCATTGTCACCGTCAACAGCTGCTGTATCATCACCAATATCAGCATCATCGCCCTCATCAGCATCAGCATCAGCATCAGTATCAGCATCAGCATCATCATCATAATCAGCATCATCATCATCAACATCAGCATCATCATCCTCATTCTGACCCTCATCCTTAGCATCATTACCATCATCATCAGCAGCATCCACATCATCATCAGTAGTATCATCATCAGCATCAGCATCATCTGTATCATCATCATCGTCATCATCACCATCATCCCCATCACAATCACCATAACTATCACCATCGCCATCGCCATCACTGTCACGATCCTCATCGTCACCCTCTTATCCTCATCATCATCAGCGTCGTCATCATAGACATCATCAGCAGCATCATCATCTACACCACCACCACAACAAGCACCATCATCACCATTATCATCATCAGCATCAGCATCAGCATCATCATCATCATCACCATCATCATCATTATCATCCGCCCCCTCCTCCTCCTCTGTCCCCTCCTCCTCCGTCCACTCCCCCTCCTCCTCGTCCTACTCCTCCACACATCAAGAGCAAGCCGGCGCTGGCGGGGGAAGGCGTGGTCCGTTTTGGAGAGAACGACTCCACGCAGATGCCTGGCGCTCTGCGACCTGCGCGGGACCGGCTGCGGCCTTAGCAGCAGCTCACGCTGAGGAGGCCGAGACCGAGACTGATTACACATCGGATCCTGAGAAAGGCGCTCGACACAACGGCCGAAAGGAGGAGCTCAATCCTCCTCCTGAGGGAGCTCGAAATGCGTGGCCTCCTCACGAACTCCCTTGAACCACGAGGTACACTCTGAGGAGGAGGAGGAGGAGATATCCTGAGGGATGCTGCAATCTACCGTCCCAGATCCCCTCCTCGTGAATCCCTTCAGGCACTCCCGACTACGGCAAACACCCTCTCGAAAGATGGGCGCCCCATGGACATGCCAGTCAGGCGGGATTCCGGTGTTGAAAAGGAGCTGCCTTATTGTTCGTGAAATTACGAGGAGATAGTTCGGATCAGGAGAGGTCAAGAAAGTGTAAAACAAAAAACCCCGCAATAAACAGAAGCGACCCTTCGGCCGTGCGCCTGGCACACAAAGTCTCACTTCTGGCATTAAGCTCTGAAGGATTATCAAGCGAGGGCCCCAAGTTGAAAAGGAACCGCCCCCCATGCGTGCCAGCGTAGCACAAGTGTACACGTCTGTTGTATATGTTGAGGAAGTCCCTCCACTCGTTTTACCGTTGAATACTTTTAGGACGAATGTGCGCTGCGGTGAGGCGAGAGCCCAATGTTGAAAACGACCTGCCTTCCATCCCTGATCCAGGTGGAAAACGTAAAGCACATGTGCACGGCGCCGAGGCGAGAGTCACATCCTGAAAAACAGCGGCCCTCCATCAGTGCAACTGTTGGGAAAGTTGGACTTCAAGCTTGTAAATGGTACGGGAAGCTCAAACGAACATCCCAGCCTGGCCCACCGGCCTGGCCCACCCTGCCGACACGCATGGTGCCACAACGAGGGAATAGTTTTGCAGAGCTCCCAAAGGAGGAACGCTTGTACTTCTGGTGGACGTTACCACGCATCTCAGGGACACGTGTGTTTCGTCGCGGGCAGTTTTGCCGAATGTTCCTGGAGACCGAAAAACCGAAAAACTGGCCAGAAGGCCGCAGCCGAAGAAGAACGCCTGTCGTGATTCTTTCGCGACCCCCATGGGGCGTGAGGGCCCCCCTCTGGAAATTGACAAACAGAAAAAGAAAAACGGCCCAGACGTGTTCAGGGGCGCGTCCTGACCACAGAATCCCGCGGCGGGCCTGGCCGAGGCGACGCAGGCGCACGAGGCACAACAAAGAAGCTCCCAAACTGATCGATTGTGGGACGAATCGAACATGCTCCAAAAATGCTTCAAAAACGCTCCGAAAACGATCCCACAAAACGCTCCCCCAAAACGCTCCGGAAAACCAGAAGCTGAGGCCCAAGACTTGCTCAAAAAACGCTCCAAACCGGATCGCTCCTGAAACCCGATCCAAATATGTTGACGTCTCACTTTTGCTGCCACGGCCTTCCGACGACGTTCCGCTGGCCACCGCTGGTTGGCCCGCCGCCGCTCTACTTCCGCGGGCTTCCGCCGGCGGCCTTCCGCCAGGTTCCGCCGAGACCCAGGAAACGCCGAAGTCAAGGACTTGCCTGTGATTCCTGCAGAGAAGAGATCTCTCTGAACCCCCCCCTCCTCATCATCCCCCTCCCCTTCCCCTACCCCCTCCCTGCCCCCTAGCCCTCCCCCTCCTCCAGTTTCTCCTCCTCGTCCTCCTGCTCCTCGTCCTCCGCCAAAACAATAATGAAAAATAATCATCATCATCATCAGCAGCATCATCATCATCCATCAGCATCATCATCAGCATCGCCATCATCATCGTCATAATCATCACCATCATCCTCAGCATCATCATCGTTATCATCATCAATATAACCATCATCATCATCATCACCACCACCATCATCATCATCATCATCATCATCATCATCGTCATCATCATCATCATCACCATCCTCATCAGCAGCATCATCATCAGCATCAGTATCGTCATCATCATCTTCAGCATCATCAGCATCATCCTACTCAGCATCACCATAATCTGCGTGTTCAGCACCATCATCAGCAGCATCAGCAGCATCAGCATCAACATCATCATCCGCAGCATCAGCAGAATCATCATCATCAGCAGCATCAGCATCATCAGCATGAGCCCCATCAGCAGTATCATCATCATCAGCAGCATCCTCATCATCATCATCATCATTAACAGCATAAGAATCATCATTACCAGTGGCATCATCATCATAAGCAACATCAGCAACATGATCATCACCATCACCATCACCAGCATCATATTAATCATCATCGTCTTCATCAGCATCACCATCATCACCTAATCATCAGCATCATCAGCAGAAACATCATGATCAGCATCATCATCCTCCATGTCAGCATCCTCATAAGCAGCATCAGCATCATCATCGACCTCATCATCACTATCGTCCACATCAGCAGCAGCATCTCGCCATCGTAATCAGCAGCCGCAGCAGCAGCATCATCAGCATCAGCTTTTAACATAATCGTCATCATCATAATCAACAACAGCAGCAGACAGCATCAGCAGCAGCAGCAGCATCAGCATCAGCATCCTCGTCCTCGCCAGCATCATCATCATCCTCACCACCATCATCATCATGATCATCACCAGCATCATCAACAACACCATCATCATCAGCATCATCATCAACAGCATCATCATCGTCAACATCATCCCACTCTTCCTCTCCGCCTCTCCATCTCCGCCTCCTCCCTCCATCGCCCGCTGGCAGGCCGCTGGCCGGCCGATGGCCGGCCAGAGGCCAGCGAACGGCCAGCCGAGCCCTCCGAAGGCCTCCAAGGGCCGCCACGGGCCGCCCGAGGCAAGCTTGTGCCCAGGGGCCTGTTGAGCCGCCGAGGGCCCACGAGGGCCGCCGCAGGTCTGGCCGAGCCCCTCTCGGATCGGCGGCGAGCGAGAAGGCGGAGGCCTTCTCAGAAGGCTCGGAAGTCCCCTGGCCTTCTGAGATGTCTTCGCAGCCTGCCCCAGAGGACTTCTCAGAGGGCGCGAGGGCTTCTGGGAAGCCCCGCCGCCTTCTGCTGAGAAGGCCTTCTCCTTCTCACTTTCCCCACTCGCTCGACGCCGATCAAAGGGCCGCGGAAGGGCCAGGCGAAGGGCTGGTGCCCTGAGATCATGGCGTCTCAACTTTTTCGAGCCGGGCGTTTTCGCCAGGATTGGGGCTCCAGCACCTCCACGGAGAACGATCCCTCTGGAGAGATGGCGCAGAGACAGTGGGTCTGGTGCTCTGGTGGTGACGTTCCGCGATGTCTCAATTTTGTTCGCACCGTCGGATCTCAGGGTGGTGCTGGGTCAGAGTCAGAATCCTCCGCATCATCATCATCATCATCATCATCATCATCATCATCATCATCATCATCATCATCATCATCATCATCATCATCATCATCAGCAGCATCAGCAGCAGCAGCAGCAGCAGCAGCATCATCATCGTCATCGTCGTCGTCACCATCGTCATCAGCATCATCAGCAGCACCATCATCATGATCATCATCGTCAGCACCACCACCACCACCATCATCACCATCATCATCAGCATCGTCATCGTCATCTTCACATGCATTTTCAGTTCCGTCGTCTTCGTCTTCATATTCATATTCAGCAACAGCATTATCATCAGCTTCATCATCATCATCGTCATCATCAACATCATCATCATCATCATCGTCATCAGCATCAGCATCGTAAGAATCATCATCGTCATCAGCATCATCGGAGTCAGAATCAGGATCAGAGGGCGGGATGACACCGCAGACAGCGTGTACAACACACACACACTGCGTTGCTGGTGTGGCGCGGGCAGCGGCTCCGCACCACAGGCATCGGCTGGTGGCGCCAGAGGCGTCGGCGCGTGGGCGGTTGCGACTGGCAGGAAGGCACCTCAGGCAGCGGCTGGTGGCACTGGAGGCATTCCCTCGCAGTGCCCTCGATGATGCTCTGGGTATTTCGAAAAGGCCCACGCCATCGGCGAAGCCCCCCCCTGCCCCCAGCCTGCCCCCCTCTCCCCCTTCGCCGAGAGCGTAGACTTCCTCGAAACAACCACCGAAAGCATCCTGGAGGGCACTGGAAAGGAGCGCCGCCAGAGCTACCAGCGCCCGGTTTCGAGAGACCTCCCCGCAGCCTGGAGCGTGGCCGAGGACGACGGCGACGACGACGACGACTCCGGCGACGACGGAGACAACGCCGACGACGACGCTGACGACGACGACGACGCCGCCGCCGCCGCCGCCGCCGCCCACGACGACGACGACGACGACGCCGACGACAACGACAACGACAACGACGACGACGACGACGACGACGACGACGACGACGACGACGACGACGGACGACGACGACGACCCGCGACCGCCCTCTTCTGCCCCCCCCCCAGCGGGCCGAAGGGCCAGCCTGGAGAGCGGCGGGGCGAGGAGGAGCTGCTGGCCGCCGAGCTCGGGCTCGGCGACGCCCGCGGGCTCCTGGGCTGCCTCGCCGTACGCGCGCGCGCACGCGGCGCGGGCGGCCGCCCGGGATCGCCTGCCGCGGCACCAGTGGCCAAGGCTGCGATTGCCCGTCGTCGTCGTCGGCCTCGGCACCACGGCCACCGTGGGCGCCATCCTCCTCCTCCTCCTCCTCCTGCTCCTCCTCGATGGCCCTCCCGATGACTCTCCCGATGGCGTCCCGTTGGTTTTCCCGATGGTCGTCCCGATGGCTGTCCCGATGGCTGTCCCGATATAAGTAGATAGTTAGATCGGCAAATGCTCGATGAGATGAGGTCGGCAGAATTAGTACAATAGAATTGGTAGATGTACGGAAAGACTGGTGGGTAGCAAGAACAAGCAACAGTATGTGATGGAGCAGGTTGTCCCGATGATGAGCCCGATGGTTGCTCGATGGAGACTGTTGTCCAGATGGTTGCCCCGACTGTTGATACGTAGGTAGACCGATGGACGGATAGACACATGAACATAATCTATAATTATGTTGCAGGGATGCGGGGCAGCGGCTAGATGGATATGTATATCTGCCATATATATACACAGATCGATCTGTATATGTATAGATGCTTGTTCCCCCCCAGCGACCCCCCACACACACACACACACACACACACACACACACACACACACACACACACACACACACACACACACACACCAGGGCTTTGATGCTGCGCGTCTATTCCTCCTCATCTGCATCATCTTGTTATTCCTCTTCTTCCTCGATCGTTTCCCTCATGAAGAACTCCTTGTATCGAACTCCGAGGCCACTCGGAAGGGCAGGCCGGGCATTTCGCCTGAGATTTCCGCACCGCTGATGCTCATGAACGTGAAGAACTGCACTAGTTCCACGGATGTAGGGCGGGCAGCTTTCAACATGTGACCCTTGCTTTAGCGCCGCGCACATCCGTCATACCAAATGCAAGGGCTTCACGGATGGAGGGCGGTTGCGTATAAACATGTGGCTCTCACCTTAACGTGTTTTAACGAGCCTACAACAGCTTCAAATAATCGCCTTGTTAACGTCACAGATACGGCGTTTTGGAACAATAGCAGATTGCCTGGGCGCAACAGTTACGTTGATTCGTGGCGAAGTCCCAGGATTGGTGTGCAGGTTCGATTCAGGATCGTCAAGGCGCAACGGTAAAGCTGATTCGCGGCATTGAAGTCCCAGGGACAGCGATGTGGCACAATTCAGAATCTTCAAAGGGTTGTTGTCTAACGGGGCGCTTCCTTCAGTGAAAAAGGTTCCCTCTAGGAGCCTATGAAGATGGAGCTTGGAGGAAGAGTTGATTACAAAAAAGTTGATGAGCCTTCAACTTACACTGGTCATCCTCCTCCTCCTCTTCCTCCTCTCCTCCCTCTCCATCTCCTCCTCCTCCGCTACCTCCTCCTCCTCCCACCCTCCTCCTGCTTTTCCTCCACATCGCCCCACCCACCCACCCACCCACCCCACCCCACCCCAACCCACCTCAAAAAAGTAAACTCCCCCTCTCCCCTACCCCTCCCCCCTCCCCCTCCCCCCTCCCTCCTCTCCTCCTCCTCTCTTCTCCTCTTCCTCCTCCTCTTCTCCTTCCTTTTCTTCCTCCTACTCCTCTACTCCTCCGCTACCTCCTAATCCTCCTCCTCCTCGTCCTCCTCCTCCTCGTTCCCCTCCCTCCCTCCCTCCCTTCCTCCCTCCCTCCCTCCCTTCCCTCCCAGCGGCCTCCTAATCACTCTTGTGATAGCGGAATGTCATGGAATATCCCTCCCAGCGGCCTTCCAAAGCTTTGGGGGGGCCGAGCACATACTCGGCCCCGTTGTTGGCTGTATTGTCTTTCGGCGGAGTGGTTCGGGGAGTGGCGTGGCGAGACCATAGTGTGCATGGCTTCTGCGTGTCTTCATTGTTGTTTGTAGCTCGATTGGCACGTTCGTCGCAGCGCCTGGGGGGAGCAAAGAACACGACGAGGATGCGGAGGCACAGTGTTTGGTGCCCTCTGTGCCACGGAACGCTGTATCCTGCTTGTTTGGGCGTTTGGGGCCTGGGGAGCCACGAAAGACTGTTTATACTGGTTTGGTCAGTTGTTGGGCTGCTTCGGAGGCCCAGTGCTAGGTGCTGGGGGGGGGGGGCGCGGCGAGCACTAGAGCCTCAGACGCGCCCCCCCCCCCCCCCACCCCCACCCCCACCCCCACCCCCACCCACCTCCTCACCCCCTCCAAGACAAACGGAAACCTTCTTTCGTGAGTTCGCACACCAAGAACAAGAACAAGCAAGCATGCACAGTGTGTGGCGCCCTCTGTGCCACGGAACGCTGTGGATGCTTGTTTGTGTTGTTTCTTTGCTCTGAGGAGCCGCGAAACACTGTGCATACTAGGGTGGTTTTGTTTGTTTTGTTTCGGAGGCTCAGAGAGAGGCGCAAGGGAAGGGCCGCGACGAGCAATGGAGCCTAACGAAAGCAACAAACATGTTTCAAAAAGAAAGCATACACAATGCATCGTGACATCACAAAGCAAAAAAAACATAACAGACAGTGTTTGGCGCCCTCTGTGCCACGAAACGCTGTGCATGCTTTATGTGTGTTGTGTTTCGTTTCGGATTCCCAGTGAGAGAGCGGGGGGAGGCCGCGGCGAGCACTGAATCCTCCAAAACTTGTTTTTCAATTATACTTTGTAAGTTAGACATGGTTCGCTGCTTCACAAACCAAAAGAACATGCACAGGAGCGGACCTGTGGTCAAACTACTACAATGATTGAGCGCCGCGCGAGGCCTCCAGGAGTTGTCCTCGCAGGGGAGGCAGTGGGACACAAGGTAAGCAGCAAGAAGGCATCTGCCACCAAAAGCTTCCATGACACCGCTGCGGGCCCGGGTCTTGCTGGATGTGGCCCGCCATCGTCGCCGACGGAGGCGGAGGAGGCAGGAGGGCGCAAGGAGACAGGTGGCAGTGGGACGCAGGATAAGTGGCAAGAGAGCATTTGCCACCAAGCCCCCAGCATGAAGGCACCCAGGGACACAAACGAATAGACACAGATCCCAGGAGTCCCAATCTCTTCCCATAGTTTCTGGGTGTTCGTCTTTTCCCCCCCCACTTCTCGTATTTCCCCCCCCCCACACACATAGATGTATATTATGTATAGATGTGTACATATACATATATACACGGGGAACCGACGACTCATTGTGTCTGCGTGTGTTTTCCCCTCCTGACAGTAGCCCGCCTGGGGCCCGGGCCCTGCTGGGTGTGGGGCCCCCTGGCCTGGACGGGGCCGCGGCGCACTTCCAGAGATCTGGCGCCGAAGGCGGGCCCGTGGAGGCGTCGCGGTGCTGAAAAGGAGGAGGAGGAGGAGGAGGAGGAGGAGGAGGAGGAGGAGGAGGGGGAGGAGGAGGAGGGGGAGGAAGAGGGGGAGGGGGAGGAGGAGGAGGAGGAGGAGGAGGAGGAGGGGAGGAGGAGGAGGGGGGGAGGGGGAGGAGGAGGAGGAGGAAAAGGAAAAAAAAGAGAAGGAGGAGGAGGAGGCGGAGGAGGAGGAGGGGACTGAGGGGGAGGAGGATGAAAATGAAAGCGGAAGGATCTGGGATACCCGATTGGTGCCTGGCGGGGCCGCCAGAGAAGTGGCGGGGCCTGGTCTGAAGTCTGACGCGGTGTCCCGCTCCAAATAGCCCACTAACACCGGACCGTCACAAGGCACGGAGGCCAGGGCCGTCAAAAACTGCGGCGGCAAGCCCGAGTCCCAGCAAACTTAAGTCTCATGCTTCACGGCAAGGAAAGGAAGCAGGGGGCAGAGGAAACCAGGAGGTAGAAGAAAGCAGGACGATGGACGAGGCAGAAGGAGGCAGGAGGTCACCGCCGGCGCCGTCGCCGTTGTCTTCGACGACGTCGTCGTCGTCGTTGTCGTCGTCGCGTCGCCGGCGATGCCGTCGTCGGCGGCGGCGCCGTCGCCGTACTTGTCGTCGCTGGGGTCGGCGCCCGCGTCGCCTCGTCGGCGTCGGCGGCGCCGGCGCCGTCGCCCTCATGGGGCGTCGGCCTCGTCGGCGGCGTCGTCGGCGGCGGCGCTCCCCGGGCCTCGTCGCACGCTCCGCCGCGGGCGGCAGCGGCGGCGGCGGGGCGTCCGCGAGGAGGGCTACGGCCCCGGCAGCCTGCGCGGAGCGGCCGCGAGGGGCAGCGCGACGGAGCAGGAGCTGGCCGCCCTGGCACTCCCACCCGCCAGTGGGAGGGAGTACCCGGACCTCGGGCGTCTCGAAGAGATCGAGGCGGGTTTTTGTTCGTAAGGTTTGGCCTCTCGGGGCCCACACCAGGCCTGGGGACCCTCAAAAAACGGCTCGGGATGAGAAACCGGTCCCGGGGAAGCGGTCGGGAGGCCGGGGGCCCGTCTCGAAAAAATCGAGACGTCGGATGTCTGGGTAGCTAGAAGCACGAAGCAGGAAGGCGCGAAAAGTAGTTTGGGTTCGGGTCCGCCCAAATACGACAACAAAGCAGCAAAAGCATATCGACTCTTGAAGTAGGAAGGCGCTTGAAGTAGATTGGGATCTGGTAGTGCCAGACAGACATACTTGCAACGACCGGGGTGTGTAGGCCCACGGTGACATGTTCTCAGAGCAGACGAATGCCTTTGAGAGCAAAACCAATTTTCTCAGAGTGAGGAAAGCACAACCCAACCCCACGCCCACCCAGGACCCCCACTCCCGACCTGGTGATCCAGAGGGTCCTGGCTGGGTGTGGGTGGTCTTTTGGCCACCGAGAACACGAGCAAAAAGCACCCCCATTCCCAGCCGAGCCGGGACCCCCTGGATCACCAGGTCGGGAGTGGGAGTCCTGGCTGGGGGTGGGGATGGGCTGTAGTGTCCCCGATGCATTGAAACAAGACGCCCTCAGCCAAAACTGCTCCGAGAACCGTTGGTGCATATCGCACAAGATTCTCAAAGCATGCTTTGGTGAAAGCGTAGGAAAGCCAGGATCGCCACAGCTTGAACGTCAGGGGGAGGGGGGGGGGGAAGGGCGCGACCCTGGCATGCTCGCGCCCTGAAGAGATCGGGACGGGAGGTGTTTGGCCGTTTGGGACCTCGAGGGGCCCTCACCTCGGGTGTTGCAGGAAGTGCGCCTGGCGCAAGGTGCCCCCCAGGATTTTTGAGGAGGCCCCCACGGCCTCCAGAGCACACCCCCCACGAGGCCCAGGGAGCCCCAGGGGCTCCACACTTGGACGAAAAGCTGGGGGCACCACGGGCCAGGGGCAGCAGTCCCCGATGACCGGGCCCCAGGACCGTCAACAAAGACAGCTGGGGATGCAAAGCTGGTCCAGGGGAAAGGGTGGGGGACTCCTGGGGGAGCCCGCACGGAACAGACCAGGGCCTCGCATGTCCGGGACCTTCGCGCCCTCGCCCTGCCACTCTGCAGAAGGACGGCCCCACGGACCAGCCGCGACGCGCGAGGCTGCAGGTGTACCTTCGCGCCGCTCTGGGGGGGGACCCTGGGCCAGGGCACCTTTAGCACTTGGTCGGGCGTGTCCTCCAACAGGCTGATTTGGGAAGAAACGTTTAAGCACAGTCAGGAAAAATTGAAAAATTACCCTCAATACTGGAAAAATCGTCCCCTGACTATTCGTTGACGATTTGTTGACTATTTTGGAATCAGAGTGACGGGGCTGAACCGAACGGTCATTCACTGTCTCTGGGTGCGTGGCTGAAGTGGAATTCCGCGATGTGGATTTTTGTTGTTATCGTCGTCCCACCCGCGACCCGCCCCGCGACCCACCCGCGACCCACCCCGCGACCCACCCGCGACCCAAACCACGACCCACCCCGCGACACACCCCGCGACCCGCCCGCGACCCACCCCGAGACCCCCCCAGCGACCCACCCGCGACCCACCTGCGACCCATCCGCGACCCACCCGCGACCCACCCCGCGACCCACCCGCGAATCAAACCGCGACCCACCCGCGACCCACTGCGACCCACCCTCGACCCACCCGCGACCCACCCCGCGACCCAGCCAAAATGTTCGGCGCCTGCGGCGGGCTTCTTTTGCATTCGTTCCCGGTGGAGAATTGCGACCCACCCGCGACCCAAACCGCGCCCGCGACCCACCCGCGACCCACCGCGACCCACCCGCGACCCACAAGGCGTGCCAAGCAAAATTTTCGGCGCCTGCGGCGGGCTTCTTTTGCATTTGTTCCAGGTGGAGAACCTGCGACCCACCCGCGACCCAAACCGCGTTCAGTGTACAAATCAAAATTTTCGGCGCCTGCGGCGGGCTGTTTTTGAATTCCTTCCAGGTGGAGGTGGAGAGCCCGCGACCCACCCGCGACCCAAGCTACGTTCACTGAACAAGCCAAAACATCGGCACCTGCGGCGGGTTTCTGTTGCATTCGTTCCAGGTGGAGAACCTGCGACCCAAACCGCGTTCAGTGTACAAATCAAAATTTTCGGCGCCTGCGGCGGGCTGTTTTGGAATTCCTTCCAGGTGGAGGTGGAGAGCCCGCGACCCACCGCGACCAAAACTACGTTCACTGAACAAGCCAACAATTCGGCGCCTGCGGCGGGCTGCTTTTGCATTCGTTCCAGGTGGCCCACCAGCGATTCCCCCCGCGCTGAACTTGCCACAGCACGCAAATCGGCGCCTGCGGCGGGCTTGCTCGCATTGGTTAGGAGGAGGAGGAGGAGGAAAAGGAGGAAGAGGAGGAGGATGAGGAGGTGGAGGAGGAGGAGGAGGAGGACGCGGACGACGACGACGACGACGACGACGACGACGACGACGACGACGACGACGACGACGACGACGATGAGGACGAGGACGCGGACGAGAAAGAGGAGGAGGAGGAGGAGGAGGAGGAGCAGGAGGACGAGGAGGAGGAGGAGGAGGAGGAGGAGGGCGCCATCGACATGGAAGGTGGGGGCCACGAGGTCCGCCGGCTCGACGCCCGCGTCGCCCGCGCCCGCCCCCTCACTCTTATCCGCAATTGCGGGGTCCTACGTAGTTATTCCTACTGTCGAGGGACATGCCCGACTTCACTCTAGCAACCCCCCCCTCCCCCCCCACGGTCACGCCCGTCATCGCCAGGGGTGAAAACAGAAACTGCCTCCACAACCACAGACCGGTCTCGAGGCGGTGGCGGCCGCGCACCTGCACGCGAGGGCTCTCGGGCGTCTACGCTGCAATCCGGGCCAATCCGGACCTGGGCCAGGCAGGCTTTGCGCAGAACCCTGCAAAAGCCTGCAAGATCCTGCAGGATTTGTGCAGGATCCGGACCCGGGTCAGGCAAAGGCTTTGCGCAGGACCCTGCAAAAGCCTGCAGGACCCTGCAGGATCCTGCACCCCGAGCCCGGGTCAGTGCAGCCCTGGCCTATTGCAGGATCCTGCATAGGACCCGGCGCTCCGACGGACCCCCGTGTGCGCTGACCCGACTGTCCCTCAAGCCACGAGGCGCCTGCATGTGTAGCCCCGCTGCAGACACCCCACAAGAACTGAACCGTCAGGATCCAGGACGGGCGCGTCAAACAGCGTCGGGCAACCCGAGCTCTGGCGAACCCGAGTCTCACGGTGCGGGCGCGGCCGCAAGAGAGCCTCGCAGGAAACCCAGCCCCGAAAACCCGCGCGCGGGGTGCTCCGGAGGGAAGACCCCGAGCACCCGGAACGCGGCAGCCTCTCCAACGGCTGTGGGAAGCCACCGCGCAGCGCGCGGAGCGAAGCAACCCAGGATACCATGCCGAGCAGCATGTGGCTTCTTGAGGCGCGCCCCCCCTGTACGTTTCGCCGAGGCCTCCACGGCCAACAGCCAGTCTTAGGTCGGGCATGTCCTCCTACTGGCGGACTTCGAGCGACAACTAAAACATTGGCAACAAAATATATATGTATCTTAAAAATGAAAAATCAATTGAAAACACATCGTCTCCAGACTACTTTTGACAACTTTTGAAGATTCCTCCCGTAGAGGGACACGCCCG